GACGTTTTTGAAATTTGGTAAGCACGAAGAAGACAGTCTTATGAAGCCATAGGAAAAAGCAGAACATGATTTGCTATTACGGTTAGCAAGTTATGACCGATTGAACAAGACCGTTAAGGAAGGTTACGAAGCCGCAACTTCAAGCTTTTTAACAGTTCAAGCCACGATGAACCAGTCTACATTCACACCATTGGAAAGATCTCGTTCTTAAAAATCCGTAGCATCTTTCGGATCTCAAATCCGATGTGTATAGACGAAGAAAAAACTCAATGAAAATCGCTTGGACCGCGACCTGATACCGGTCGAACACGCCGACCGTTATACCCAACCGGTATCGAGCCACATTCATCCCGTGACACGCAAGGCCTTGTACCGGTCACGCGTATCGGTCCGAAATCGCGACCGATCGTCGGGACCGATTGCCCCGAACCGCGCCACATCCCATCGTAATGCCACGACCCGCGAGCCCGATACCGGTCACGCATGTCGGTCACCGAGCCAGACCGGTATCGCGGCGAACTTGCCACAACCCTTGTCGATCACCCGTCGCGATCATTTCCTTCCCGCGGTACCGATCAAAACTCGGTCCGGTATGTGACCAACCCGTCCCGCGTCCTTCCTACCTCGTCCCGTGATCCTCTCGTGCCGATCCATCCCACCTTGTGTCGCGACACACGACCCGCGGTAAGGTTTCGGTCACGAGTATCGGTCCACTCACCCGACCGATACTCGGCCGAATGTGACCCGCGACACAACGCGACCGTCCCATCCAATACCGGTCCACACTGCCAACCAGTACCACGACCGATATTGCATTGACCCGCGACTCCAACTCCACCAACCACCATCTCGAGCCGCGAACCGCCTTGGATCCGAGCCACAATTCGGCCATCCTTGCCCGCGACTAGCCACCCGACACCTAGACCGATCTTGACCATACTGCGTCCCCATCAACCACCAAGCCATTGGAGCCACGAGCCATGGACCATCAGACCACCACTTCGAACCACCGAGCCGACCACCTAACCATTTGGTTAAATAAGGTTAATTCATCCTTTTTCACTCTTTTAATTATTTTACAACCATTTTTCACACATAAGTTTTACGAACCAATTTATTTTTGCATATTCATGATTATTTACCTAAAAATTATTGATTCATGAATTTTTGCATTAGAATTTAAAATATTGGTTAGAATTAAATGGTTTTAAATATGATTTTTACATCTTGACATATTCATTCATTGKTTTCACTTAGATTGATGATTTTTAACAATTTGGATTCATTATTTGATTTCTTTTTGTTTCTTATCTATTTTTCCTTCCCTTGGACTTGGAATTCAATACACATGTATTGAAGYCTTTGATCCAAGATGAATWTAACAAGTGATTTCAAGTGTTTTTGCAAGGATATGTTGCTCTTAAACAGGATTTCCAAGAGATTTKATTGTGGACGCACAATTCAATCGTCTTAAACATTATCCTCCATTCAAAAGAGATGTGACAGAAAAGAGGAGACATTGGAGATACAAAGCATGGTTTCGATTCATACGGGATACCTAATGCTCAAAAACAACGAAGATCTAAGATTGATCACGACAACCTAAGATTTTTGCCGAAAATAGCTAAGCTCATCGGTACTATCATTCTAGTCTCTATCTTTTTGATTCTTCTTTCAAATAAATTTTCATCATTACTCCCTTAATTTGATT